AAAGAAAGATTTTTTGGTATTGCAAATCAAATTTAAAATTTTCTTTTATCTCATTTGGAAGATCTGCCATGCAATGTGTTATACAAGCCTTTCTAAAACACTAGTTGGCTTAATAAAAAGTTTCAATTCTTTAGAGATAGACTTATATATTAAAAGTGTTGCTACCTGATTCAATCTGGGATTTGAGTTTAAATAAAAACTCACAGCTTAGCAATCTTAATTGATACAAGAACTATTTTATACATTAGCGCAATGCTTCAAAAGCTACTTACACTTAAAAACATTGCGTCTCTTGGTTTTCATAAGAGTTGTTACATAAACATATACTATTTTCCTAAGCATAATTCGGCATACTATGAGCTGAAAATATCTTTCGAGTTCCCAATTCGCATTCTCTTCTAAGCATATTTAAGAATTATTAAATTAATACGGAGCTACAAACACAGGAAAATTTTGATAATGGGAATTAACAAACTGTCGTGAAATTTACCGTTCTATTTCATTTCATTGCTATAAAAATTTATCAGCTCAAAATGTATGGAATAAAAAATTATATATCCCTGTAGCATGAATTTGCCTTTAGGCGTATATTGATACTTTTATGGCATAAGTTTTTCCCAATCCTTCCAGAAGTTAATATTTTGTTACATTTCTCATTTTGAATATGGGAAAATAAATGACTTACAAAGTAATTTGTTTCCTCTCATAGAAAATGCTGATCTTAAGTTCCAGGCTACTTAAATTACAGTCTATGGATTATTTCAACAGAGAATTAAAATTCGCCTTAAATAATTGAAGTCTTTGCTATGTTTTCCACAGTATAAGTGTTTAAATGCATTACAATTTATTTTTCCATTTAAAGTTAAAAGGCTTCTGCTAAACTTTCTGTGTATCAAAATAAAATAGTTATCCTTTCAAGAATATATGATAAATTTTCATCACATTATTGAGCCTTCTACTTGTGATTCACGATTCCTTATGTTTGTGTAAATAAGAAAACTTTTTTTTTGGTTTTCATATAGAAAGTGGAAGCTGATATTTTTTTTTATTAAAAAAGTACATCAATTTCCCTACAACGTTCTGTTTGAGCTGATAATAAAGCAGTTGTTCTTTCAAATTTTCCATTCTTGAGCATAAGTTTGCAATTTTAAATTTGTGCAAATCTCTGATATTCAGTCTGAGAAATAATACAAGTTCTGTTCTTTTTTTCGTTTTTATGATCAAGAAAGAAGTTTTGTTTCGTATAATTTTGACATTTTCTCCTCAATTGATTAATTCTATTGTTTGCATCAGAAACAAAAGCACTAATTACTAAAATTGTATGTCGTTATCATTTAAGAATCATATGCAATTTGTGGAAATTGCTCTTATTGTTAAAATAATATGGATGTTGTTCAATATTTTAGCTTTTGGTTTTGTAAAAGATATTATTATTAATATCAATGTCATGTAAAAAATAATTAAAGAACATGCAAGATGTAACTGAGGAATTGAAGCATGGTGTAAATGATAATTTTAGAGTTGGAGGGCTGTACGGATATATAAGCAAATGAATTAATCCTCGCGTGAGGATTTCGTTTACAGAAATCACCTAGAACTGCTGAAGTGAGTTCTTTGATTCTATAATATTTATCTTTCCTTTTGAGTATTTTCTTGTGCTTCGCTCTTGAACGTTCGTATTTTTTATTTACGTTTGACTTCTTTTTAGCGTAATTAAGACTATCAACAAGAAGGCAATAGAAATGTATTATCTTATTTTAATATTCGTTAATGTACATTCGATTCGTTTAAACGTTTTTTTCTCTTTATATCAGCATATAGAGTCGTTAGATATATATCAGAATATAATTTACTCAAGTAACTACTCTGTCATTATTTTCCTCTATTGACTCTTTAATTATTTTTTTCTCTACTCTTTATTTTATTGTAAATACTAATCGAAGAAAAAGAATAAATTAGATCAAAAGTATTTCTGCAACGCATAGTGATGGAAGAATTTGCGAAATGAAATGTGTTGACAGCGATATGATTGCAAAATATGTTTGTACAGAATTTCATACATGGTATGCTTTTGTTGAAGAAACTTTGTACAAAAGTTGTGTCTTTGAATGGTGGGGTAATAGGTTCGTGTAATGATACGAACAACGATTTTATCTACTGCATTCTTGCATTTTCTAGAAACTGAAATTTCCCATATTTCACTACTCTTTTTTCCTTCATTGAAGATGATTGCAACAGAACAAACTGTAGGAACAAACTGATCTACAGTTTTTTAGAAACAGCTTTTGAATCTCATTTTACCTCATCTGTAAGGTATACATTCGTATATTTAATCGGTATTCAATTTACTGATTATGACTAAACATTTACACACGAAACAACAATATTAAGCATCTTCTTAAAAAAGATTTCAATCGATTTTCTCACTAAATTTTGGTCGCCTTTATTAAATTTTAAAATTTCCCCATTGTTTTTTAGAATTCTTGAGTTAATTCGTATTAATAAAAAGAGCATATTCGCTCCGCTTGGGCATTTGTAAAATGGTGAAAAAACATTAAATAAATATATTGTTGATCATAATTAATAAGTAAAATATAAACGAATGGAATGTATACATGAATAAATGCATGCAAATCAAGGTTCAGCGTATATCCATTTGTTTATTATTTCCTATTTTCATTTTGAAAATCAATTTTCTCTGCCAACAAGAATAGAATTCTGAAACAATCACTGACCATCTTTATAATTTACATAGTTTTGCTTTTTTGTCTGGAGTTCCAACGCAGTCTTTCATAGAAAGGATCTGACATTGTCTGTCTTCTACCAGAACAATTGTCAGAGCAAACGTAATAAGAGCGAAGAAGAAGCTTCCTTCATTGGCTAGGGAAAGTTGATAAAGATATCAAAGAAAATTAAAGCAGATTTTTATTACTAGATAAACAAAATGTTGGATTCCTGTGAAAAATGGATAAAAACCGAATAGGAATCTATTTCATTTTATTTTTCGCTCAAAAAGGATATAAGAAAGTTTTGCCGATTAAAGGCTTCACTGTTATCAACAGTTTTAGATTCATTAGAGTTAGCATGTTCCTCAAAACTTATGTGCTTAAATGCAGTCTGCTTTCCCCAAGCTATTCTTTAAATATAAATCCGAATCAAATTATTAGTTGACCGGTTAAAACATAATAAATTGAACTGATATTCTATGCATTTCCATTTGCTTTTCAAAACTCAGCAATGTCAATAAAGGGTTTTAAGTCGGACACAGAATTTTAATTGGACTGTTATGTCGTAAATAATACAAATTATTGCAGAGAAAGTTAAAAAAGTGTGAATAATCTCTGTTAGTCCAGAAAAGTTGAAGCAGCATTTTGCGTCGACTCACTAAAAGCGTCGAATCACTTTTCAAATTGTTATTGCCAAATTTTATTCCCTGTATTATATTAAAAAAAAATAAATAATGCCAATCTGCATAAATGTACGCACATTTCTCTCATTGTTAAAAAACAACGGTACCTAGAGCCACCAAGTTTTGAATAACGTAGTCAACCACCCGAATATGGCACCTGGAAGCCCGAATTCGGAATTTCGAATTTGGTTTATTATTCGCCCAAAGGGGCAATTTGCCCAGGATTGCTATTAATTTCGTTTTGCATTTTGCGTCGTCCACTTTAAAAGGGTGTTTCACTTTTAAAATTGTTGCCATCAAATTTTAGAACGCTGCATTGTATTTAAAGAAATTAAATAATGAAGAATCTGCATGAATGTATATATATGTTTCCGGCATTGTGAAAAAACTACGGTACCTAGAGACATAAAATTTTGAATAACTCCACTCGAATATGGACATCTGGAAGCCCAAATTCAGAATTTGTTCTACTCGTATTATCTGTTTCACATTTCGTAAAACTTGAACGAATTTTTAATTAACAAACTCAACGATTTCAAAGCAAGAAATGGCAACACCGTACCGAAAAAAAAAACGCGAAATGGTGTATCAGAAATTCTAAAGATAGGCCCTTTTTAAATATTTTATGATATTGCTGTTGAACTAAATTTTATGGTTTGTGGTTGTTGTTGTTGCTTATGCTCACTTGTCTGGCGTAGCACCATTCAGGTGATAGGGCAATTTAGCTCAGTTGCTCCCCCAATTTTGATGGAGAGCACCCCGGGGGGGGACGGGTCCGAGGGTCTCACACCCGTCTTTCCTTCCACCAAATGACACGAGAGGACTTTTGGCTCGCCGCATATTTGGAGTGCCGCCATGCCCCACCGACACTATGCATTTACAAACATCCATGCTTCTCCGGGATTCAAGCCCGGGCCCTTCGGCACGGCAGTCAACGACCCTAACCACTATACCGATTGGGCGACATTTTATGGTTTTAAGTGCGAAGAATATGATATTTAATAAATAAAGGTAACACACAAGTAAAAAAAAAAACGCCTCTTTGGACATAATACGAAATCCGAAAGTTTCCAAAATTTTTTTTAATTAATTTTCTTTTGAATATTTTAAACTTTAAAGATTTTCTGATTAACAAACTCAATGATTTCAAAACGAGGAGTGGCAATACTGTACGGAATAAAACATTTTTATCTCCAGTGCGCGAGATTGTCTATCGGAAATCCTAAAGCTATGCTGTTTTTAAATATCGTAACAAATGAATATCGTCGGCAACGCCCTCTACCGACGATATAAAGAAAATACTCAGTTCAACGCACACTGCAGAAGTGAGCTGTTATTGTTTGAACTCACACTTTAAACTTTAAAAGTTATTTTTATGTAATTCTATTTTCTCTGTATGTTAATGTTAGGTGTTAATAAAACGTAATTTAAAATTAACTCCTAATTGATTTTTTTTTTCTACGGATATAATAATTTTTTTTTTTTTTTTTTTTTTTTGTGTGTGTGTGTAGGTTTGTATGTGTGGGCGTGTAGCTCTGCGTATGTGTATGTGTGTATAAATGAAAAAAAACGCTCTTTTGGGCATAATATAAAATCTGAAAGCTTTTAGATTTTATTTTTAAGAAGTCAACTTTCCCATAAAAGAAATTTAGTTAACTATATAAAATTCAATCTTATCGAATTGGGACAAAGTGTGAAAGCGTTTACTATTTCTGCAATTTTTAATAGTTATATTTTTAAAAATTCATTTTAAAACATATATGAGTCAAAATAAATGTGTGAGGGAAGAAACATTTCTCATTTAAAGCTGTTAAAAATGGAAATAAATTCCCCGAGAAAATTTCTCGAAATATTCAACAGCACTCTCTTTCGCAATAAAAATAATGAAGGTGAAATGTAATGATTCGATATGCTCCAAATTTTCATACTTTATGCTTCTATAATACTTATTATTATTTCTATAGCATTTTTTCTAATATTAATAAGAGCTGTTATATGTAGTCTTTCCATAAATTCTGGAGATCGGTACCCTTCGTTTTCTCGGCAAATTTCTCTTCCATGCGTTTGCTCTGGTCTTCAGAAAAGTAGTTTTTCCAGTCACCAGTGATACCTTTCCGTAGGTTACCATCGAATTTTTTCTTTTTAGAGAAACCATTTTCCGATTTCTCAGATACCCTAGAAAAGAACTTCTTTACGTGTCCCGGCAATTCGGATTTCGCGATGTCTTCTTCAGTCATTGATTTTATCTCTTCAATAACTTTAGCTGTAGCCTCTTTCATATAATCGAAGCTACTGAACTTTACTATGTCTCTCAGTTTTTCAGGATCATTTCTCAGGGGTTCTGCATACAAATCATCGTCAATGAATGATGCCATTTTTAAAATGGCCGCTGATGGATCTTCTTTCATTTGTTCATATGTTAAGAAAAGCATGTTGGGATCGTTTCTGAAAAGCAGAGAAATGATATTTTAGAAATAGGAAGAACATAATTACATAGTAATGACATAATTATAATATAGTTTTATCTAGACAGATATGGATTTCTAATACATTGCAATAAATAAAAAAGAAAAGTATTATAATTAAAGCACTATAAAAATTCGAAATTAGATATCAGATTTAATAGGGGGAGGGCTAACTGAAACTTTAAAATTTCCCTATTATTTCATGCTTTTAGTTTTTCCACTGTTTTGTTTAACACGCCATCTGAAATCAGCCGCTTTTAAGATTTGTATCTTTAACGCAAGAAATCTTTCACCTGTCATCAATGTTTGCTGAAATACAATCTACGGAATTCTATTCCCAAATTTGTGTTAAATTCCGTTTATACTTCCAAAATTAGGATGAAATTCAAACTTTTATTTTTTCATTAAAATTAGATATACATGCAGACACTTACTTAAAAATGAGTATGAATTATACCATTAGGAGTTGCTAAGTTTTCATCTATTGACTATAAATCTTGGTCTATAAAACTGCTTGTCACCGGAAAAAAAAGATTCATTCATTATCCGAAATTCCAAAAACTCATTCCTTCGTCATCATACTACTCAGTTTGAAAATTCTTAGACATTCAATTCTAATCCCTTAGTTAATATTTATAATGTTTGTTCTCTCAGAGAAAAAATAATTTATTAAAATATTACTTTAATTTTTCAAAACTTCCAGTCCTATTTTCCTAATCATTGCTCCTGTCTAGAATGTGTTTAAATCCAGCACAGAAAGAAGCAATTTTCCACTTAATTATTCGCAGCATTAACTTTAATAAATCATTTGATTCTAATCTCAAACAAAAAGAAAAGAAGCTTTATGCAAAATTAATTTTAATCCAAATAATATTATTTCGAAAGATAAGGACAGGCAAATCTTTGTCGCTATACTAATGAAGTCATAAACTTACAAATGAAAGCCTACTCTGCTAATTCTTTAAAAATCTTTCAGGTTCTGAATTTTCCATAACTGAAGTTGCTGTTAAAGCATTGCACATATCTCTTGTCCAACATAAAATATTGCTAGTTTCAATTGGCGTTATCTCCGCTACATTTTACGCTCTTCGCAAAATTCGAAGAATTGGTATTCTTTTTCGCTTTACAGTTCTGCACTTTAAAACTGTGTCATAACCTTTAGCAATCATTTGATTGCAAAATTTTCTGCATTACGTTCCAGTTTGAAAAAAAAAACTCATTTAAATATCGAGCAATAAACTTCAGAACATTACTGTGGAGAAATTAGTTATCATATTTTTTGACGTTAAATCATATTTTACTAATGTCCCAGCTAAAAGAGAGCCAAATTGCCTAAAGAACTTTGTTTCATTCGCAGTGAAGTTGAAGAATTAACCTCGTTTAATTACTGAGCTGTTTAATGTCCTTTTTTTCAAATAATTATAAACACTACTTTAAGGGCAAATTGTTTAAAAAAAATCTACCTTCCCGCTCTGGGTTCAACATATTGATTACACTATCGCATTTTTTGATGACAGGTTATTGTAAATATTTCATCAACATTAATGCATAAATTCTACAGATCCAGCCTTACATTTCACATTTGAAATTGAACTTTCAGCTCACTTCTCATCATTGATATTTAATTGTCTTTACTAAATCTGACTTCAGCATGGCTGTTTATACAGTTAGACTTACCGTAACAATTCTGAGAAATAAAACTTCCAATCATAACTTCCTATGATTGAAAAGGCTAAATAAAGAAATTAATACAAAAAACAACCAATTAAACCAAAATTTCAGTAACTCAACTGAACATGTTTTATTATAAAGAAGTTATTATAATATATCACTAGTGTGAACTTCCTTAAAACATTAGTTATTTTTAACGGCATCGAAAAATTCACATTGGTACTGGTGTTAATTCACAACGATACTCTTAATTCTATAGCTTAGTAAAGCTTTTATTTCTCTTTTCAAAACGTAAGGCATTCATTATTCAGGATACTCTTTCGACTGGGGCCGACCTGCCCAGCATGCTGAAAATGTATTCCGTTATTTAATTAAGACTGGACAATGAAATGCTTTGTTCTTTGAAATGAATGAAAATATGAAAAGATGGATTATTGTTGAAAAAAATCTATTTGAAATGATTGATGTGCTTGTTTTTCTTCACAACTTTTATTTTTCCAGATTTCATAATTAGCTAACCTAAAAGCTTTTGCAGTCACCACCTCATCTAAAAAGTTAATCCATGTTTATTGGATTATTTGAGACAGTTTCGTTAATTTTGTTAGTTCACTTTCAAGTTAATTCGTTGTTGTTTATCCATATAAATGATTTTGCTTCACCAAAACTATTTTTTTCATAGAGCAATGTAAAAACGCAACGTGTATGTGAAATGCCGTATACTCTTGTAGGATTGTACTGATATTTACAGTTCCATTATTTTCTAATATTCTAAAGTTTTTTTTTCTTTGCTTCTTGAAGTAAAAATGTATTATCATGCCTTTCCTGAAGGTTTGTTTTTAATTTTCCAATTTCACTAACGATATCAGTTACACTCACTTTTGTACTTTGCATAAACAAAATAGCTTTGTTCTTGCACAAACCGCAAATATATTCCATTATTATCATTATAATAAAACCTTTTTATTATCACTGTACACTATTCTTGTGAAATGAAATAAGATTTCAGTCGTTCACAGATTTCAATTACTCTCAATAGCTAGAAGTTCAGAAAGAAAACCGCTGTTGCCAAGTTAAGTATACATTTTATTCTCTACAAATACAAATTCGCAGAATTCGTTTAGTGATTCGAATCGTATAAGTATGGGAATAATTAGAATTCTTGAAATTTTCTACAGTAACATTTCTGTTTCAGTAGATACCTTTGTAAGGATCTTAAGTTTTACTAACGTTTATTTTATTTTAAATCTTTACTATCACTTCTTATTTTCTACTTCCGGCCAGAATTATAAGCGTGAAGGAGTTTATGCAAAGTTGTCTGGCGAACGCCAAGTATTTAAGTGTGGCCTTTTTGCCAAGCAGAAGAGAGGAAGCCGTGAGTTCGAAGCAGGCCGCTTACCTTAGAAGTTACGCAGTTGCTACTTTGCCTTCCAGGCCAGAGGTTTTAATCCTCTTGATAAATTAAACGTATTGTAGTGTTCACAGTCTCTGTGCTACATACGCTTCCTGTTATTATAAGGCCAATCTTATTCTAAAGTTAAATTAGAGTTTAGTTTTATTTTGATATCTTTTAAGTTAGACGAGTGGAGGGTCATTGTATTCCGAAGTACGGAAGTCATTGTATATAAAAGAAAAAATAAAGGGTTTTGTATACCCTTCGTCTGTATCCTGTCTACTTACTACAATTAGTGAACATAGCTTTAGTAAGCTCTCTGTTCTAGTCAGGTCATTGTATGTTTCCGAAGAAGGTTAGAAGAAACATTGAACCTGATAGTGGCGCCCCGACGAAGAATAACCATGGCCGAGTTTCAAGAAGAACCTGTGCTGCCTGCAGAAAGAAACAGCTCAGAATCGAATCCAGAAATGCCAGCTGCCGCCCTGGAAGGATTTGGGTATATTGTCCAGACCATGCGCGCTTCGATGAAACCAGAAGCAACGTTTAATGGAAACTCACAGGTAACCAGTTTTTTGGAAAAAATTGGATGACCACTTCATGCTCTACCCCGTGCACGAGTTTCAAAAAAGTTACCTTAGCTACCAGCGCTTTGAGGGGCCAAGCGCTTAACTGGTTCAAATGTATCGGCAGAAGTCTCTTGGGTCAAGCAGGAAGTCCCACCTATACCTACGAAAATTTCAAGACTGCCCTACTAAAAGCCTTCCCTGTTGTAAGGGATCGTGCGAAATTAGAAACAGAAACTTTTCAGTATATATCAACAAAGAATCGAAAACCTCTCGAGCTTTATTTTAAGAGAAAAATTCACGTTTTCAAGCTCTTGTATGGAAAACCGTCCGGATCCTGAAATAATTCAAGTGATTTTGCCGAGGTTACTACCCCAAGTGCAAGACTTTATTGAATTGAGAAATCCGACTACACTGGAAAAATTATTTGAGCTAGCAATCCAGTTTGAAAGTAGAAGAACGGCGGACGTCGAAAGAAGACGCCAATATCAACAGCGAAACCAATTTGGTACGCCAAGACTACAGCAAACTCAAGCACATGGCTACGGAGAAAAAGCGAATCAGTGGGCAAGGAAACCCGAGCATTCAAAAAACAGCCGGCGAACGTCGACAGTTCAATAGCAACCCAGGAAAAAAGTCTCAAGGCCAGTGGAGAAAGAAGGAAAGCACCGAAAGAAAAAATAAATTTAAACTAAAACGGATTTCTGCTGACGAGAGGGTGCGGAAATCCGAAGGCCACGAACGAAAACCCCTCTTCCTACAAGTTAAATACAGTAATGGTGAAAAAATTTAACTCTTCCGAAGATTGAAGATTGAAGTCTTGGTAAATAATATCCCGGCCACCGCACTCCTGGATACCGGCGCGCAGTGTTCCTGTGTGGCAGAAGTCTTTTTTAGAAAGTATTTTCGCAAATACCGCATATATAATGCGGATAATACGACAGTATTAGCGCGCGCAAGGAGAACAATGTAAGTGCGTAGGTAAAGTACCTTTGTACATCCGTATCAAGGACGAACAAGTAAAGGTGATGTTTTTTATAGTAAAGAATTTGCAAGCACACTTAATTACTAGGAATAGACTTTCTTTCAGACGCACAAGCTACACTGGATTTTAATGAAGCGTCTCTTAAGCTGACGATGAAACCAGTTGCGTGTAGAAAAGGTTGAACCGCCAAGGGTAAATCTCGACCACCTGCCTAATGACGAGCAAGATAGAATCCGACAAGTGGTAAGTGAATTTGCTTCCGTTATTTAGTGATATTCCAGGATTTACCCAGGTTACTAACCATAGTATTGACACCGGAGATGCATTGCCGGTTCGTCAAAAACCATACCGGTATGATAAGAATAAGG